ACCACAAACCCCGCGGTGCGGGTCCCGGGGCCCCGGGGAGGGGGCGCTGCGCCCACCCAGCTTCACTCCAGCACCTTCCAGAAGCTGCCGGGACCCAGCCCCGGGCCAGCCCCACACGCGGCACAGACCCGCCGCGGCGAGAGGACGGCGGCTCCACCGGCACGGCCCCGCTTACTGGCACAACGGCAGCTGGAGCAACGTGGGGGCCAGTGGGCACCGAGCACCTGGCATGGAGAAGCCCAGCACACGCCGAGGCGGTACCGAGCCCTGAAACCATGCTGTGGGCTAGGAAACGGGCAAACGATGGCCAGGCAGCACGAGGGCCGGGGGGAAACCCTGGTTCTGCCAGAGAGATCACAACGTGCCTTGCGGAGTCAAGGTCTGGCTGCTGACATTTGGCATCTGGGTTGGATCGTGAAACAAAATGCTGTCATCCTCAGTGGTTTCTAATCCTATTTTGGCTGAAAAATTGTGCATTGAGATGTTTGCAATTAATTCCCCTCCTCCACAACCCTCAAGTCTTTCTTTTTGTGGAAGAAAACACAACTGAAGTGCACACAATCAATCTTTCCTGCAGCAAAAGCATTAACATGCAAGGAAAAAAAAAAAAAAAAGGAAAATGGAAAAGCAAGAAAAGCACAAGAGAATGGAAAGTAAACAAGATGGGGAGATAAGATGATGCCTGTTACCAGAAAAAAAAATAAAGTCAGAAAATAAACCAAGAAGAATTAGGTAAGAAGAGAGACATGACCCAACATGAAAGGGGAAACTGAGGAGACAGGGGCTGGGCCAGGCCCTGAGCAATGCCCCCTGCACCGACAGCACTTCCCACTGCCCGGAGAGCCGGGAGGCCTTCAGCTCACTGGGGAGGGCGGGAATCGCCGGAATAAAGTGACTTTAAAAAGCAATTCTCTTCCTCCTTCAACACAATAAGGCACCAAATATGAGGGTGACCTAGGAAAAGGCTTCTCTCTCTCTTCTCCTCCCTTCTGTAAATTCTAAATGCTTAATATTAAGGTTAATATTCACATATGGTGGGTCCTGATGTTCCCGCAGCTGAAGCACTCAAGGCATGGGGATGTATTTCTTTCTGATTCCTTCTGACAAGTAATGAACATTCTGACAGGAATTAGTTTTTCCTCCATTTCTCTCTTGTTCAGTTTTCTTTTGCAATACTTTTTCCCCCTCCTGATCATTTTTACTGTAAATGATCTGTTGGCTGGGAACCCACAGGCAGCATGAAAGCCAAGCACGGACGAGGGAAACACCACTACAGCAGCTTCACCCTCCTCAGCCCCGAGGGAGGCGGGATGGTCTGTGCTGTGGCCAGCACAGAACACAGACTAAGGGAAACACAACTCCCGTCCTGCTTGCCCTGTGCGGGGACTGCGAGGTACCACCATGGCGATTTGCAGCCCTTACCAGGATCAGCCCGCACTGAGCAACCTAGGGGTGCTCGTCCCTGGCCCCCCAAACGAGCACGTCTGTGCCGGGGCCCTCGCCCCTAGCCTCCGCACTGCCAGCTCCAGGAGATCGACCGCAGCTCCGTCAGGGACAGGCCCCAGCATTCCGCACGCGCCGCACACTCGAGCGCTTCACACCAGCCCCGCGGATGGGCGCTAGAGAAAACAACACTGTGGGACAAGCAGAGAGGTGGCGCGTTCTCCCCGCAGAACGCTCCCCTTTGAGCACAGCAGTCTAACTACTTCCAGACGCCGTGCCCTGAACCGTGCTGCCTCCTTCAGAACAGCTCAGGACTGACGCCTCTTCCCAGACCAACGATCCATGCCCGGCGCCATTCCCAAAAACAAGGGGTGGCTTTGGAAAGGGGGCTCTGAACAGCTGTGGCTCCCTGGCGGGGCTTTCAGCAGGCGGGGTGGAGGGCTCTGACCCCTCACCGCTTCATGGACCTTCCGAAAGGCCCAGCGCTTGGCACAGCGAGGGAGCATCCATGTACCAGCCACCTTCAGAACAGGAGTGTCTGGCCCTCAGTCATGCAGGAAAAACTCTAGAAGACATAATCTAGATGTGTTTAAATCACAATCTTGAACACCATGAAAACTAGAAGGTCCATGAGCACATCCAACAGATTCCAGTCTGCCCTGTCTCAGAAGCCACCTCACGAATTCACACTGAAACACATCCCCAGGGAGACAAAATCAGCGTTTCCAAGTTTTTGAAAGCCAGAGCACTAGTACAGAAACACAGATCCCCCACTAGCGAGACAAACAAAGGGCACCTTCCTGAGCTGGGTTCAGAGGATGGGAGTTTGTGTTTGCCTACTCATCTAGTTTTAATTTCCAGTTCTGTCACTTCCTCAAGCAACAGCCTCTCCCAAGGGAAAAAAAAACCCACCAAAACAAAACTCTCTTCTGCAGTCCCCAGGGATGTGGTTTAGCAGAACCAGCTCTGGCAGAATAAAGCACACAGGAACTAAATTGTACTATTACATGGTCTGCACTAACAATGCAGAGATGTTTTTGACAGTAAAGAAGTATTTCAATTAATGGTGGGGTGGCCTTTTTTTTCAGAATTTAAAAGACTTGGAGACCAGCCCTTTATGGGAAACATACTTTCCAACCAATGGAAAACACAGCAACGTGCCGAGCACTGTGGTGGCAGACCTCGGTAGCTTTCTGTCCCATTTCTTACCCATCTTTCCCAATTTTAGTTTTTACTTTCTAAAATGTCATTCATCTGTTTAGGCACCCGTTAGCAAAGCTGCCAAAGAGTTATAAACCTTTTTCATTGTGGGCAACAAAATGTTTTTTCCCCACTAGTCTCTCAAACACAGACGACATTTCAAGAGACCAAGTCTCCCGTCACATATCGAGAACGTCTCTACAGCTGCCTGCGTGTTTCATCAGATCTGCAGACCCACAGGATTTGTCTCAAACATGTCAGGGCTTGAAACTTCCTTCTGACATCTAATTCCAAGCGAAGCTGTTCCCAGGCGATAACACACAAAGGGAGGCTCTACTCTTAGAGGCCCCATCGTACCCGCAGCTGCTCAGAACGTGTTCTGCTCTATATATAGATACAAACTGCAATCACTTCAACAGGAACCTTTCACATAAAAGCAAATTTTTGTTCCACGCAAAAAACCCAAAGGGATGTTGACATTTTGATGGATATATGGTTAGCTATTGCAAGCTGCTGAGCCACGGATGGTGTTTTCCCTTTTGAAAACCCCACGAATGCACCAGGAAACATCCGATGTGGCCGCTGAAGAAACAATTTTAGTGTGCGAGTTGGCTGCTTAACAAGCTCTCCTACCTTTCGCCAGGACTGGAGCCGAGGCTTCGTGGGAAGCAGCAGGCACACGGAGCAGAGCCTGGGGGTCCCCTCCAGGCAGGAGCCCGACTCCACACATGGTTCCTGGTTCCTCTCCTGCTCTCCAGGTGCTACATAAATCACCACAAAAAGGCGAAAGGTGAAGATCTGCCACCAGCTGGGCTCCTCGGGCCCCGCGGTTCAGGCAGGGGCGCTGCCGATGCTGGGAGCATGCTGAGGCAGCAAAACCAATGACAGTGACGGGGAGCGTGGGCCAAGGAGGGGGCCAGCCCCGCCACCCCGGGG